GGCATGTGTTACTTGCCTGAAGAGGCGATGTGGCCAATATCACATGCTAGTAGCTGTTTATCTTCGTAATGTACTACTCATAAGGTTGCTGAAAATCTGTCGACAGCCCACAACCGGTTTCGCCCTTCTTCGGACTCACCAACTGAGCGCAGTCCCCGGGTTTCCGTCAACCGTATGTTCAACTTGAAACCAAACTGCACGAAATCAACGAATATACACTCATTTGCAAACTAATTTGGTTTTTTCGAGGGACTCACGGGAAACCCAGCTGAATCTCTCGTTTCAGCAACCTTATGAGTAGTACATTACAAAGATATACGTGTATCGCGATATCTCGAATATCGTAGCGACTGAAACATGAGGCGGCCTGGTGCAGCACATTCAGTTGCCTGAGAACATCACAAACGAGAGATTCGGCTGGGTTCCAGGTGAGTCTTTCGAAAAAAAAAAACAAATTAGTTCGCAAGTGAATGTATATTCACTAATAGCTGTTTATTATTGGGCGGGGGAGGTGCCCGCAGGTCTAGTTGGAGAATCTTTGATGAATGGTTTTCTTCGTTGAATCCGCGTTTCACTTTCATAACCAAACATTTGCCACTCACTGCGATCCCCCCGGATTGGAAAGTTTCGATTAAACAACGAAATTTGAAGTGATCCGTACTTGGTTCCTAATTCTGCATGCATACTTCGGTTTTGGATCTGCTTTCAACCAAGTTTTTATGTCCTCTCCCATTTTACAGGTTCAGCTCTTGGTCCGCTAGCGGTCTTCTGTGATCCGTACTTGGTTCCTAATTCATACTGCATACTTCGGTTTTGGATCTGCTTTCAACCAAGTTTTTATGTCCTCTCCCATTTTACAGGTTCAGCTCTTGGTCCGCTATTATGCGGTCTTCTCAAGTCTCACGGGTGGGGTGCTGTGATTGCAATGCTCATGACTGCGCTAGCCCTCGCTGCTGTCGTAAGTTTTGATCATTTGACGATGACATGTGTCACTGCGGTCCAACTCGACTACCAAGGGGCAGTCGAGTAGATGTTGGAGCTCTAGGCGTTGTAGTCGTCAAGAAAAATTAACGACAACGTTCTGATACACAGTTCTGGACATTCATTGTTCTAGCAAGGCTCTTAAAACAGTTCTTCTAGATAGATTACCTCAATTTCCACAAATTTGTTAGTGCACTACGAAGCCTTACCTGACGATGCAGGTCTCCCATTGGTTAACGACCTTAGTTCGAATCCGATTGCACATAGAATTTTCTGAATTGGGTCACACGGTTTGCAAGCCTAGTTCATTGGATTCTTGTCTCATCAGGCCGTAACGTGTTTGGTTATGTCACCTTGGATTTGCCTTTCAAATGACTTCATCATGCCCTCTCTTTCACTTCAGCTTCTTACGCGCCGGGTTTGTGTGGAGGTCGGTCTTTGCGTTCGCACCCGACGCCGACCACTTCTTCTGGAGGAACCTATCGCCTGACTATGTAGGCTTGCCTCCTGGTCCTATTACCGTAATAGATATTTTTCCTTTACCTCTGGGGCTTTCATCTCACCTTAGTGGAGCTGAGTGGCTACCGGCCCTATCCGCTCCATAACGCTCTTTGTTTCATCTGTCTTTTGTTTTCCCTTCTCTGCTTTTGACTTCATTCTTCTGAATTCCGCAGTGTTGTTCTGCTTCACTCTTGCTGCTCAATGTTTTTTTTCGTATCGCACTCCGTTCATGCCATCTGGAACTACTGTCCCGCGAGTTTTCTCGTTCGATTTCAGCTTACATTTGACCGACATTTGGCTGACACGTTGGATACTCTGTGCCTATTAAGACAAACGATGTTACGCTCAGCACTTGTCTCGTTTCAAGCTGTCTGGACGGGATTCATAGGGTTCACTGTTCAGATTTGGATATAAGTCGGGTTCTCACTCACTTCACAACCGCCCTCGCCACATTAGGCCTCCGATAGGTGCCCCATTCCTATTGGTTGTCGAGCTTTTCTCTAGCCTCTGCCGCATATCGAGACATCAAATTGCGGTGTGTGTCCGTGCGCGCACAGCTGTTTCTGTAATGCAATACGACACTTGATAAGTATTTGCGCAGACGATGCACTAGGCCCGGTATTTGTTCGATTGCCAAGTTCGCGCACTGGCATTCCGAGCTGCGTCACTTTTCCCCCAGGAAAGCCTATTTGTCTCCTAAGTAAGGACATTCATTTCTGTAGAGGACCGTCCAATTTGGGTTCAAATAGAACATATGGTTGAAGGAAACTCGGGGACTGCGCCTACCTGATGAGCCCCAAGCGGAAGGGCGAAACCGGTCGTGGGCTGTCGAAGAGTTTTCAGCAACCTTGTAAGTAGTTTCCTTCATGAAAATATACTACGATATCTCGAATATCGTGCCAAGTGAAACATGAGGCGAACTGTGTGCAGCACATTCAGTTGGAGAATAGCATAAACGAGAGATCCAGTTGAGTCCCTCGTGAAAACCAAACTGATTTGCAAATGAGTGTATTTCTCGAAATCCTTTGTAGACTTTGACCGTCAACTGCCAAACTAGGGTTGCACCAAAAATCTACCGAGGTTTGTCTTGTTACTACATTTATTCGCTCTCCAAAAGTATTCAGTACTGCACGCAACAGAATGAGAAATGCGGCGAACAACCGTGATGACCATGTTATTGAAGAAGAGTCGGCTCGTGCAGAGTAAAGCCCACCACCACAGTGTCTGCTCGTGCAGAGTAAAGCCCACCACCACACTGTCTGCTTATTTCGCTAAATTCGGGTTCAAGTAGAACGGAAACTCGGGGGCTGCGCCTACCTGATGAGCCCCAAGAAAAGCGTCGAAGAATTTTCAGCAATCTTATGACTACTGTGTTACATCTATGGTTATTTTTTTTATTTGAGACAGTCGTCCAAGTGGGATAGGTTCAAGCCAGTTTAGTAGTCATGTAGAACGTCGTTCAGAATTCCTCGAAACACGCAGTTTTTTCCTGCATTACTTGGACTCAATGTTCTTGAGAGCATGTTCGTCATGGGATAACATGTGTCACGGAAATTTGATGGGCAGTGCCTACTGCGAACTATCTTAGGAAGTGGCTCTCTCTGGAACGGTAAGCTGGTTAGATTAGTGTCTTAAAATCAGTTGTTTCCAAAACACTGGAAGTCATCATGTCGGTTCTTTCAGCCACCTACCCCCAGGCATATCCATCAGTTTCACTGACGGGGATTGTATCAGATTATTGTCCCAGTCTCCGCTGCTTCGCCAAACGCAGTGGGGGGCGAGATGGACCAAGTGGTTAGAGCGCGAATTTACTGACCGGAAGGTCCGTGGTTCGAAACCGACCTCCGCCTCTCGACTTCCCCTGTCTAGGCTTGGGCAACCTGACAGTATCCCAGGCCTCGTGCCTCCTTCGTGTGGCATGGCAACTAGGCACCGGAAGGGTGCTGCACCTGAACAAATGCAGTGGGCAGCGGAACGAAACGCCAACCGAAACGACGGTGTGTTCAAATCATCTGTTTCATCAGGACCGATCTATAATGAGACCAGTCAAACTCGTGCTCCTTTGAATTCATGCTCAAACCGCGAATTTCAGCGTATCCTCGACCTGCCAAATGACGCCATCGGTAATTCCGATCATTCCATCCCTGAAAGGGGTCATCCGCGGTTGCCGAAACGTCGAGCAATGAACCTCGAAATGTTAGCGTTATTTCGCCATCATCATTCAACCAGGCTAACTGTTCCACTTAACACTTCGGTCGCGTCGAACACGATGCAGATATTCTCAGACTTTTATTTAACACCAGAATTAAGGTTCCGACTCAAACGGTATCGCTCACCTAGTATAGGTCAGCTGGGTTGCTTAGCTTTCACGGCGATAGTCACGTGGAATCCATATTGATGAGTTTCTTTGGCAAGCTGCATCCGGTAGACTTACACGAACGAACTGGTTTTCGCATTTGATGACGTCGCATACTGTTCCGACCTAGTAAGCCTTGCTCTGCATTTCCTTCGTGTGACGACATTTTGTGGTTTAGACAGTCTGCTCTGGGTCGCTGAGTGAGTTCCTGATGTCTATCGCACTCAATCGCCTATTTTGGCTGAAGCCCTAAATCGACGCGTTGCAAGAAGGGTAAACGAAATCTGGATCCTTGGAGAGTAAATGACGACCAAAGTAACTTCAGGAAACTTTCAAGGACCCTTAAAAAGTACTTGAATTAAATAGTGAATAACAGAGGGAACGGTGTTAGAAGTGGGGTTGCAGTGGGACATTTCACCTTGACGAAATTGGAAGTTTCCGTTTATGGTATGAGTAAACACGAAACTTTGCTGAAAGTTATACTTGATACATTGGATTCTTGGGCTCGAAATGACTTAGCGATTTACTGACCAGAAGGTTCATGTTTCGAACTTGGCCTCTGTCTCTCGACCTCCTCCCTGTCTTGGCTTGGGCAACCTGGCAGTATCTCGGCTCTTGTGTTTTCTTCGGGTGGCATGGGAGCTATGCACCGGAAGGGTGTTGCATCTGGACCGTTTCAACTCACCAGAACGTGAATTTCTTGATGACCGGGGGAACTACTCATTCGCCTGATGCAAAGATGTACCCGACACCTTAGTTTCATTCCGAAAACACTGCCGCAGATATTTCGAGGGTTTCGGAGATTAATCAGTGAAACTATTTTGAAAGCAAACTCCGTGGATGGTTGAATTTCAGGAAGGTCACGAGAGGGGATCGGTCTGTGTAGATTCCGGTTGATCTAAGCGTCTCCGAAAGCGTTGTTTGAATGAATCGAATATTCGACTGTTAACGACTCAGCTCCAAAGTCTGGTTGTTCGCGCTCTGACCTCACCATTTTTGAATGAGGCGGTCTAAAAACGAAAACCGGTCAATGTCTAATGAGTATGGCAGTCTTTTCCTGGTGTTATTTACGTCATCCGCCAAGTGATTTCACGTCTCATCTGTAGTTCTGGTCAAAGAGAAAAGCTTCAGTGCCTCGGATATCAACATCGTGAAAACATACTTTCACTCGATTGGTTGTTTTCAAAAATCCGCTTGATGAGACGGTGACCAGGATGATATGCCTGCTGAGGCTTAAAGGAATCTCCAGATGGCAAGCCCTTTGGGCTTGGTTGAGATGACCAGTCCTCGTTTGTGTTGTTGGCCCCTTTGTGGTTGCCACCGGTGTGGATCCAGTTCATTGGAAAAAAGAGGTCAGCAAATGGAAGCCTCATAAAAACACCTTTAGTTGCAGAGTCCCCTTTTGTAAGAAAAAAAACGTGCCGGTGTGATTCCTCCTTTACGTTCTGATTATATCATTGTAACTAATGGCGCCCCGCTGAATAATCCGGTTAGCACTAGTGCCGTTTTAGTCCTCACCTTTCCACTTGGCCTAGTTTATGAACAAGATGGATTTCATATAGACGTACTACACTAATCATTAGGTTGCTGAAAACTGATGATGAATATCGTACCAACTGAAAAATGAGCTGGCCTGGTGCAGCACATTCAGTTGCTTGAGAATGAGAAATTCTGCTGGGTTCCAGGCGAGTCTACCGTCGAAACCGAATTGGTATGCGGGTAAGTGTACAAGATGGAATTCACCTAAAATAACAGGTGCTCGATCACCACAGTCTCCAAGAACAGATCTATGCTGCCAGATATTTTTCAATACGCACGATCAGTATGCAAAGTAGGAACCTGTATACGGTAGCTCGGTTATCGAACCTGTCGCCTTTTGTGATTGCCTCCTGTTTGAAAGATCGCTGAACAGGAAGGTGCGTGAACAAAGGTAACGCAAACGATGCATTGTTTCTCAACCTATGATGCGAAGCAGATCACCGTCGGATGCGAATTGTTCGCCGTCAAGAACTAAGATAGGAGTCTTTCAAATTAAACAACAGATGATTTTCATGGAGGAAGCTAACTACTCACAAGGTTACTGAAAACTCTTCGACAGTCCACGACCGGTTTCTGCCCTTGTTGGGGCTCATCAGGTAGGCGCCGTCCTCGAGTTCCCATCAACCTCATGTTCTACTTGAGTAGTATGAAATAGAAACCAAGTATGGATCACTTTACATTTCGTTGTTTTATCAAATAGTTCCCATCCCCGGGGGAATCGCAGTGAGTGGCAAATGTTCGGTTATGAAAGTGGATCGTGGATTCAACGAAGAATACCATGCATCAAAGATTCTCCAACTGGATGCGAGGGCATCTCTCTCGCGCATTTACTGACCGCCCAATAATAAACAGCTGTTAGCATGTGATATATAAGCCACCACCTCTCCAGGCAAGTGACGCATGCCAGAAACTCATTGATGAGTCTTAAAGACAAACATATAAATATTGACCCCTAACCTGTTAAGCTGATGACCTGATCAGATGATGCTCGGTGCTTTTTCGCTGTCCTACCGATAACACTAGGTTGTAAAAAGCTGTTGTGAAGACACTGCACTTGTAAAAGTTCCTCCAAGTTCCTCCATGGCCTGTTTGGGATCATGGGATATTGATCGCAAAATGGGTCTCACTCTCTCAACACTGTCGGTTTTCGTCACCAAAAGGAATTGATTGTTTTGTATTTGGGATACAACAAACGGAGCTTTCGGCGGCATGGCCGGTTCAAGCTTAGGCGACATCAGTCACTGTGGCGAACAAAAATTTGTGTTCTCGTGGTGGTTTCTATTAAACCTCTAGTGAGGCCTGAATGCAAAGCTAAATTGAGTCATTTTACGTCATCAAAGTGTGTGGAACGAGTGCACCTATTTACAGATCAATTTGGTTTTCACGGGAGACTTCAGTGAATCTCTCGTTTATGATGTCCTTCAACTGAGTCTGTCTTGAAAACCAAATGGATCTG